ACGTAGCAGTCGACACATATATTTCGAGGTCAAGAACAGCAAGTTCAGCACCACCTTCACCCCGTTCTCACACAATATTTTCGACGTAAGCAAGAATGTCTTCGGGTGCGTTTACCCACTGACGCCGAGCAGAAATAAAGGAGCTCACCAAGCACATCAATTACCAACTATCTACCATGCACGCTACTATCGCTCTACTTCCGCTGCTTGCCTTCGCGATGGGCATCGCTGCAGCTCCAGCACCCCTGCATCCCGTTGCCCGGGCCGTACCAGACATCAACGAAGTCGCCCGAAACCCGGCTCCCATCGATCATCATGTCGGTTGGGACGACCATGGCAAACCGACACTCGGAGATATTAGCCACCTCAGTCCAGAGGACATCAAGAAGCTCAAAGACCTCATCAAGCATCTACTTGGTGGCAGTCACTCTGCATAGGAGGCTGTCGGAAGTCGTACATGGAGGAAGTGATATCATCCAAGGTATGCGCTTGAAACTTCGCTTCTCTAGGATTTAGCTAAGAATTGTAGCCACCGGAATTCTTTTACCGACAATTATGCCATCTACTTGCGCATACGAAAGAGGTGGAGTCCTTTTCCCGCATGCGTTGTCGCTCTAGCCGCCAGGGCCGCCATAGCAACATGATCAAATACGACTAATTTCGAGATTTCTACTGCTCTACCTTACTTGCTCAGCCCTGAACATTCCGATCTGTCTTGGCTAATTCCACGGCCTTTTTCATGCAACAACCTGTGAGCAGCCATCATCTGACGGGCAGCGACCGCCCCACTGCAAGCTCGCGTATCAATGGAACACTGCACAAGATATGTGCTGGCAAATGTTCCACGACGGCATTGGCCAATTGACCATCAATCGCCCGGCAACGTACAGTCGTGACACATTGCCGAGCCTGGTGTGTCACAAAGGTCACACCACGGTAGAAGATCCCAGATTGAGCTAATCAGCGATTGGAAGATGACGAGTGTCGTTGTAGCTAGCGAGCTAACATACTGGCTTTCCTCCGCCGCTTACTCCCGTAGCTTCCGACGTGTACCTTTCACTAACATACCAGCAAATCCTAACCTGACCCGAACTTCCGGCGCAGTAGCACAAACACCTCTTTGAAACAGAAGAATGTTCAACCAAGGATACACAAGCGTCTGGCCGACCTTGCATGTTCGTCCCTCTGTGTGGCTACACTTGCGCAACGTCGTACCGCCGCTTCCTGGTCTAGCAGACCCCTTTCCCCTGGTCTACTAACAATCCAACTGACTTCGCTTGTTTGCAAGTGTCTCGCTCCAAGATTGAGAGCGGATAATGACAGCGTGTGCTATGGTGATTGTGAGCGAGCCCTCAATGCAGGTTACCTACACGGTGGCAGCTCGCAATCTCACATTACTTGCACGTCATGTCGGTATTAGACGGTTGAGCGCGTTTGTAAGCTCCACTTTCATACAATCGAACAAACGGCCTGTTTGCACGCCTTCTCTTGTCTATTCTTGCGCGTGATAGGCCACGCATAATACCTCGCTACCTATTACTGGCGCACTCACTTCGTCGGTATCTGGCCATTCTAACCTCGGATACGATGCAATGATGCCGCAATCTCCTTTTGCTTCTTCCCATCATCCCCTCCCGCGCCAATCGGGAAGCAGCGCGGATGTCGGTCCGTACATCAATGTGATTACGTGGGTTCTCTTGATTACCTCCGCGTTGGCGGTCCTGACTAGGCTTGTTACCAAGCGTGCGTTGAAGCGGAGCTTCGATATTGACGATGGTTTTGTCTTGCTGGCTTTGGTACGTCGCGTTTGATTGAGCTGGATTATCGTTTTAAATCCCGCTTTTGCTGACTGATGGGAAATAGATTGCGACTATAGGCTCTGGTGTCTCTGTTAGTGTCCAGACAGGTAATGGCCTTGGGCGAGACATCCTGCTGTTGACCGAAGATCAGATCTTGGCGTATCAGAAAGTAAGCGGCTTAGTGACCGGTGACTACATTGATATTCTGTTAACTTATTTTGTAGGCCGAGTATGCGAACAAGCTGCTCTACATCGCGACTCTATGTTTCGCAAAGTTGTCCATCATCTCGCTGCTAAAGATTCTGACCGCATCTAAACTACACCGGATCTTAGGCTTGCTACTCACCGTCTTCATCGCTTCTTGGAGCATCCTGTCCGGACTTGTGTCTGCGTTTCAATGCGGCGCTGAAGAGCCATGGCGCTTCCTTGACAGAGGAGGAAGATGCTTCGACTTGGTATGTAAGAATTCCACCGTCTTCATTGATATTGCTGAAACTTCGAGGAGGCCGCTTTTTGGCAGTCCGTGGGCGTCGTGAACATACTGACGGATTTGGCACTCATACTGTTCCCGGTTCACGTAATTATGACGCTACAAATGAGCACGAGCAAGAAAGTTACGATCTTGACGTTTTTCGGCGCACGATCACTGTAAGTTCTGCATATAACTATCATAGTAGTCTTCTACTAATGCGCCACAGAGACATCGCAGCGACTGCCGCCCAAATGGCGTTCCTCCACGGCTTCGCTTCACCCAACCCGACGAAAGACCTCTGGACATGGACACTCGTCACTCAGATCATTGAGTGCATCACCATCCTCACATCATGCGTACCCTACCTACGACCGCTCCTGGAGCACGTCCCATCAGGCCTCTACGGTACCGACGATATACGACGCCGAGGTACGACTACAGAGCACGGCTACTCGCGCACGAAAAGCGATTCGTATCAGCTCTCTAGCATCGCCTCGAAAGTCGGTGGCGGAACAAAACATAGTCGGAAGAGTCAGGTGGAAGGTGGCGGGCTCAAACGCTTCCTACCAATGTTCTCACACAGTAGAACGACAAATGCGAATTCCGCATCGGGTATCCCTGGAGGCCCTCCGCGACCTGACGGCGAAATGGATGTCGAAATAACAGCTGTACATCACAAGCACGATGGAGAGAAGCGATGGGATGACAAAAGATGGGAGACCGCAAGTACTGGGAGCTTTCCAAAGATTCTGAAGACTACTGTTGTTAGTGCAGAGTGGGAAGACGTGGGAGCAAAGCGTGGCGATGCTTCCAGTGATGAGATCGCGATTTTGCGTTGATGTTCGCTCGTTTAAGGCGCTTTTGCGGTCGCATCAAGACTTATATACCCAATAATTCAGTGCTGAAATCCAACGAATCCACTTCTGTATGACCTTCAGGGTCCCTAGCTATATCAAAAACATACTGACTCGTTTGTTGACCAGTGTTGACGTTGAAATGCTTGAACACTCTGACATGATACGCGTGAGATTACAGTCGAAGCTCCGGCGATGTGGTATCCCCGTGGGCCTGTGAAGCTGTGCGAACGTTTTGCAGTGCCAATCGTCGCGTGGCTCACGCATGAGTTCCAGCCTTCAAGATTAGTGAGCTGGTTCCAATTGCAACTATCCATCTGAAGGTTTAGAACTGACATGCCACTTATCTGCGAGTACCCAGTCCAAATTGCTCATAGGCTGAAAAACCTTGAATGAGCATAACTTGTACGCGAGGCGGGTCAAGCCCGATACCAAGTCCGGCATTCGAGTTAGCCCCACGCTTGCTCCAGTCAACAGGAAGTCGTGCGCCTTCTTGGACTTTCGCCCCCTGTAGCATGCCGCAGTTGGACTCCTACTAGGAGATGTAACGCGGCATGCCTGTGGCTGCATATGTCAGCCTCTAAGAGTAGATCGAGATGCAACACGCGTGAACTGCATCTGCGCAGGTTCCCGACAATAGTACGATGTCTGAGAGTCACGCTGAGGCGTGCAGGTGTTGGTAGTGGACTCTGTGCAAGGGACAGAATAGCTAGACGCCACATTGAGATCGGCCTGGTTGTGTTCTGGTAACGCATTCTCTGCTCGCATGGAACCTCTAGGACACAAAAGCACCACACGACTCGTTTGGAATGCTGGAACAGATATCGCGATGCGTCATGATAGCCGTTGAGAGTGTGTGCACGGATGGAGGAGGTGGCTTCCCACATGGGCAGGAGATTACTAACTAGCGTGACACAAGATGGAATGAACCCCGGAGCCACCCCCTCCGTCTTCCCTCATTCCCCAACCACCGCACCGCTCATCGTCCAATTCGTGCCACGGAGAATCTGCCGGGAGGTCAATGCCTTCGACTACAACGGTATGACAGCCGTTATTGTGACCACATGCCGCATGCTCTACCCTCGATCAGCATGCCGAAGGGAGACTACGGCGGCCCAATGTTGCACGCTGAGTGACATGCAACGACGAATGACGCTCTGAACCCCTTTTCGCGATTGAAAGCCATCACGATCTACTGCTGAGTTCGGGAAGTACGAACGCCTCTTTCTTGGGCATATGCAAAGCGCGACGCCCTGGTGCAAACACGCATCTGTCCGTTCTAGCATCGACCATGCCGTTTGACAAACACGCGAAGACCGGAGAATGTTAATTTCGCCTCTACCACACTTAATACATGCGAACAAGGGTCTGCAGGAATGCATGTCACCGCTTTCCGCAGGTTAGGCACCCAATGGTGTGCGACCGAGGCACCAATCAACGCCCGTTTCACTGTGGGGTGCCCTCTGAAACTACGACTGCAGTGCGATACGTCGACTTGCGAGCTGCCGCCGTCACTGCAGAGAGCCTACAACTGCCTTTGCGGTGCGAAACGTTGGCTTGGTGTCTTTCACTCGGACGCTTAGTTGCATTGCCGAGCGACCGCCTCCTAGACCGACCTCACTACCGTCTTTGCCGGCGATCACCGTACTACCGCATCCACCCGTGGACATCTGCACATGGCGCACGTTACCTCTGGAAGAGATATATATCGAGATTTACTTGCATTGCATGCGTCCTGTATCACGACACACCTTCTGGGTATTCTCTTTCCTTTCTGGTCTGCCTGCTTGCTCGACATTTGTTACTACGTACTGCGGTCGTATCCGTCTTGTTGCTCAACAAGCCGCACATTGAAAAGCTGGAACCAAGGCTATCATGGAGAAGCACATCGAACTACAGAGGTTCAACCATGAGCCTCTGCGGCCGAGGGGCCGGGGCTCCATTTCGGAAGGCAAAGGCCAGCAGTTCGATCACGACAGATATGAATTGGCGAAAGTGGGAAAGAAGCAGGTGTTGAAGGTATGCGCACTTTTGACAATATGTTTGTCCGGTCTGATCATGGTAGCGTCGCTTCGGACTGGTGTCTATGACCGGTCTCTCTTGCGGGTTGATGTGCACCTGGGAGACTTTGCTTGTGTAAGTCCACATAACTGACACCAACTACCTGGCTGACGTCATGGCAGTATCTTTTCAATAGGCTTCCAAAAGTAAGTGCTCAACCTATACAGCGTTCCAGCAGCAACTGACGATGACTACAGCGGCGGACCTGCTGGTCTCATCTACGGCTTCATACTGATATGGCTGGGCAACTTCTCCGTCTTTGTCTGCATTGGTGAACTTGCAAGCGCCGTCCCGACTTCTGGTGGCCAGTATCACTGGGTCTCTTTACTGGCGCCGCGCTCAAACAGGAAGTTCCTCAGTTACGTGACTGGTAAGTTCGTCAACTTCCAAAGCGATTCTAATCATATTAATCATCTTAAGCTGGCTCACTGTCATCGGCTGGATCGCAGCTCTTACTTCCGTATGCTACTTTGTAGCCGACTTGATCCTGCAGTTGGTCAGTCTGAATGATCTCGAGAACACATATATCCGCGAAGGCTGGCACGGCACGCTGCTTCTCTGGGGTATACTGCTCTTATGTGTCTTCATCAACGTCTTTATAAGCGGAGCGCTTCCCACGATCGAAGTCGTCGTCCTCATCGTCCACATCCTTGGCTTCTTTGGCATTCTAGTGCCACTGATCTACTTGCCATCGAGCCACAATTCGGCCAAGAGGATCTTCACAATGTTCCATAACGAAGGAGAGTGGAGCACGCCGACTCTGGCGTTCTTTGTGGGACTACAGGGCAATGCTCTGGCGTTCGTTGGAACTGACTCAGTCGTTCATGTAAGCTCTACATTCTAATCTTTCTTTCCCTGCTAACAAAGTAGATGTCTGAAGAGGTAAAAAATGCCAGCACCGACGTTCCACGTTCAATGCTTCTCAGTCTCGTCATTAACGGCACATTGGCTTTAGGAATGCTCTTCGCCGTTCTCTTCAGCGCCCACGATATCACAGACTTACTCAGCGACCAAGAAGCGACAACCGCGCCTTTTCTCCGCATCTTCACACAGGCTGTCGGTTCCGAGGCCGGTGCTACAATCATGGTTGCAATCATCGTCCTACTCGAATTCTGCAGTGCAATGGGGTGCCTTGCAGCTGCATCGCGCATGACATGGTCGTTCGCACGAGACCGCGGCCTTCCTTTCTCTCGCGCTCTCAGTATGGTAAGTACACCTTTTGATCGACAAACGACCTAAAAGCTCTCTACTAACACCATACAGATCGACAAACGAAGCACCATCCCCGTCGTCTCCATCCTCGTCGTAACCGTCTTCGCCGCCCTTCTCGCCCTCATCAACATCGGCAACAGCGCCGCCTTCAACGGCACAATATCCCTCGTCCTAGAAGGCTTCTACCTCTCCTACCTCCTCGCCATCGGCCTCCTCCTCTGGCGCCGCGTCCGCGGCGACCTAGACAACCCAGACTCTTCGCATACTATCTTCAACGAAGCGCAAGTGGACGAGGCGTACGATCGCAGTCTGACCTGGGGTCCGTGGCGTCTCAAGGGTGCATGGGGCGTTGCGAATAATGTTGTTGCCATTTGCTACCTTACTCTCATCATCTTCTTCAGCTTCTGGCCTAGCCAGCCCCATCCGGATCTAGTAAACATGAATTGGGCGGGTGTGGTGACGGGGGCGGTGGCCGCATTTAGCGTGGCGTACTACTTGTTGTTTGCGAAGAAGTCGTATACTGGGCCGATTGTGGAAGTAGATCCTCATGTGTTGTGAGGGGGATCCGGAGTACAAGAGGAAGTCTTTCGAGATTTACTGCTGTGTAGTGTATGGCTAGGTGAAAATTCCTGGGACATAGAGGCTTCCGGTTGAGGTTCAACAAAAGCGCGGTATATATAGACTGGACATACCCATCAACCCGACATGATTTACGAACAATATCATAACACTTGACATCCATATTCATGAGCCTTCGAAGAGTTGATGGTGTCTCTTCAAGCTTAGATAGACCGATACAGACTCCACTCACAATAAAGTTGATTGGACAAACGCATTGTGATCATAAACATTCGTTATCATACATAACTCATAGCATGATGTAATTTGCCTGTATATGCGCGCCTTCCAAAGCCAAAATAGTACTCATGTGCAATAGAGCGTGAGAAAAGAAGAAGAAGAAGAATCCAAATAACCGGCCGTAACTCATCAAAAAACCATAAAGAAGAAAATGCTGCACCAACAGCCCCATCTCCACCCACTTCCAACTTCCAGACAGAAGCATCCAGATGGCCTGCCACTTTTCCACTTCAAAATCGTGTTGAAATCCCAAGCTTAAGAAAGCGCCCCCATAGCCAACGCCACAATCTTAGGATTCGGTTTATCCTTTCGAACCAGAACTACCAGAAGAATCAACGAGCCGTTCAAGAAGTGTGCTAATGGGCCGAGCGAACAAGGGCTAACCTACCCTTCCGGTCTCTGTCAACGCGCATAACCTCCTTGCGGGGCGTACGCTCAACAAACTCATACTCGCGGTCGCCCTCGCGCTCGTACTTGAGCATGCGGCGCTCCTCCTCGAGGAAACGGATTTCGTCGCGGATCTCGCGCTCGGAGCGCCGGTCGTCGCGGCGCACGAGCTGTCGGCCTTCGGGGAGGAAGGCCGTGGCCGGGCCGTGGATGGCGGCTGAGCGGTCGATTTCGACGTAGCGCTCGTGTTCGTGGATGGAGGGGGAGGGGGCGCGCTCGGAGGGTGCGTAGACGGTTGGCGCGTGGTGGGATGGGGCGTATATCACTTGGGGTGGGGGTTGTTGGTATACTGATTGTGGGGGTGGAGGAGGTGCGTGGACTACGGAGGGCGGCGGAGGTTGGAATTCTTGAGGGGGTGGTGGGGGAGGTGCGATGACTGATGCTGGTGGTGCAATGGAGGGTGGTGGCGGTGGGGCGTCCTCCACCTTCTCTTCGTAGACGTATGTGATTTTCTCTGCTCGTGGTTAGAAAGGGTTGTAAAGATATTGGCGAATACGTACCCTCTTTGTAGTTCTCGCTGATCTTGATGACCTCGTCGATGTGCTCTTTCTCGAGTGCTCGGGTAACAACGATAAAATCGTCCTGCTAAAATTAGTGGCATTCCAGTAATGCGTGCGGATGGCTTACCTCTTCCTCGTATGGGTAGCCCAAGTCGATAACGGCTTGCTTCTTGACCAGGCGCTTGGGAAGTCTCGTCTTGCCCTTCTTACCCCAGGTGGCTCGGGAAGGCTGGATTTCCTCAAAGCTGGAGATTGAAGAGCTGCGAGTTGACTTTGCTGCTACGCTCTTGCTTCTTCGGACTCTGCTCTTTTCGCGGTGGACTTCGACTTCTCGGTAGTCTTCTCGTTCCCGGCCCCTTCCGCCGCGGTCGTCATATCGGATCTCTTCAAAATCATCTTCCTCGTGGAAACGACGAGGTGGTGATCGGCGACGCTCACGGATAGGAAGTGGAATGGGAACATTGGCTGGTGGACGCCACTCGTGGTCTTCGTACCTCTCGTACCTCTCTACGTCGCCATAGCGTGGCAGGGGTTTGCGGTCAAAAGTGTCGAGAGATGATTGACGGCGCATGAACTGCGGCCGTGACGGCCTGGGCGGGCGAGGGGCTGGCCGGCGCTCATTGATGTCGATATCGATGTTGATGTCCTTGTCGATAACGGACCTGCGGCGGTAGGGGGCAAGTGCTTGGTTGGCAATCTCGGAGGGAGTCGGCTCGTGGAACATCTCAGAGGGAGCGCGGCGATGAGGGCGGTCGAAGCGATCTTCTTCGTGGTAGCGTTCTCTTTCCATGACAGCGGGGCCTCGGCGTGCGCGGTCTTCATGGAAATCAATGTCACGATGGCCTCCGGGGAAACGATCATGCTCTTGGAAGCGGTAGTGGTCGTAATCGTCGCGCCCACCACGGCTGCTACCGCCAGCCACACTTCCGCCCGGTGGTGGCGGAGGAGGAGGTCCCCTTCGCATGCTCTCAAACCTGTCGCGATCCCATCGCTGGGGACCGCCACGAGGCGGCTCGTCAAAGCGATCCAGATTGCCCGTTGAGGAGCGGTACGCCGACATGTTGGATAGTCAGGTGCGGCTCGTCGATGGGTGGTGATGTAGGAGTAGGGTGCGGGGCTGCCGGTTATGTGTCGGAAGATGTCACAAGAGAATAAGGTGTGCGCTAGGAAGCACGGCAACGGGAATGCGACAGACTGACGGCGGCGCAACAAGCGGACACACGAGAATATAAGTGTCTTGGATCCAAAGCCTGCCGGAGAATTGGTGGTGGGTGGGTGCGACCAACTTTAGATGCAGGATTCGCGACGGGCTTCGTCATCGGCGCTCGCGCATCATGCCAGGGCTGCATCTGGACTGGGCGCTAACCGGCGCCATGACTGGAGGGACGCACCCCTGGTGTTACATGGTTTCTCATTTGTCGCGGAGTTCCCCATGGTTCAGTTTCATGTGAATCAATGTGGACTCGGGCTGATGTTGGGCATTTTCCACTGTCATGTGAGATCTCGACATGTTCTTCGCCATGATCGGGAGAGGAAATACTTGGTCTTGTTGCCCAAAGGGCCTTTGAGGACGCCAGGCTATCCTTACCGTGAGTTCCTGGTCGTCGGCCGTATTGGATGGGATGCATGTCCGCAGAACGAAGTCTTGACAAGCGGTGACGTCAGGGCACGAGCTTGGAAGCGGACCGCGGCGCAGTTCACCGCCTAGCGCAGCCTCAGCCACGGTTGCTCACTGCGTTGCAACGCTGCGGCTTGGGCTTCAAAGGGAACAGACGTTCCCAACGCTTTCGGCGAAACTTTTCGACGTTGGGTTGTCACTGCTGCCACGTTCTGGGGGCTTACAGACCGATGGTAGCGATACCCCGCAAAGAACGTGTGTACCATGATGATGGATCTGCTAACCCCACGGAAAAGCAATAATCGACGATGACGGATACTCTTCGGTGTCGTAATCTGGCCGTCTCTTTCGTTACCTCGTTTGGAGAGGAGTCCGTAGTCTACATGATAGATGTACAGTTATGCTACAATTCGCCCAATCCCACCCAGCGCATCGTGTGGCTTATTTGGCTCCAACAGCTTCTTGGATCTTTTTGGTGACATACTCTAGATCAAATGGCCGTCCCTTGAGACCACCCATGACTTTACCCATAACGCTGCCAAAACTCCTCTTGCCCTCCTCTAGTCCTTCGATCACGCTCTTGACTAACGCGTCCACCTCACTGTTCTCCACTAGCGGAATCTCCTGCGCATAACCCTTCAGCACATCCAGGTGCGCCTGCTCTTTCTCGACGAGGTCCTCCCTCTTAGCATTTCGGAACTCTTCAATTGAGGCCGAAGAGGCTTTGATCTGCTTTTGAACGAGGGAGTACAGGGCTCCATCGGTTTCGATTGGCTTGGCAGTCTTTGATGCGTTGATGATCTCGGCTTGCAGTGCACGGATGGTGTTCAGTGCAGGCTTGTTCTTTGCGCGCATGGCCGTCTTAAGATCGGATTGCAGGCGAGGAAGTATGACATTTTCGGATGTAGAAGTAGACGAATAGCGGACGCATAGAGAGCGGGCGGGAGTGAGGAGCTGCCTCGGCAGCATTGCTGTGCGGAATAATGACATGGTGGGTATGAGTGTTGCTGTGTTGCTGTGTGGGAATTGTGTGTGGCAGGAGCGATTGCAACTAGAAGGAGCGACCACGGAAGATGTATTTGAAGTGCTGGACTGCGGATGTGTTGAGCAACGAAACGTCGTCAGTCAAACATGGAAAGTTGAAAGCACAAAAGTTTGGACTACCAACGCGCTCAGACGCGAACAGCTAGCATCCCTGCGCGCCAAGCATCTCTTTTGTTGTGGACCGCCGTCACTTTTGCAGCTTGTACCTGAGCCTCAGCGTCGCAATTGCGCCAGAGCACCCTTTTGATCTTTCTCTCGGCGCGCCTTTCTTAATTTTATTTCATCGACGCATCCGCGCGCAGCTCATGTGCACGCCATCTCACCGGCGCGTTCCCCCAACCTCCATCTGAAGCTCGCTCTCACCCGGGCCACGACCAGCGCATCCCTTCGACTCTCCACGCAATCCATCATGGCTTTCCAGATGGCGCCCGCGACGCCGCAACGCCCCACCCCCGGCGCCTTCGTCAACACGCCCGCGCCCAACCGGCCAGGCTTCACACGAACTGGCTCCATGTCGCAACCACAGCCGCAGCAACAGCAAGCGCTGCCTGCACCGCCCGCCGAGAGCCCCATCGATCGCGCATCGCGGACCATAAACAGCATGCTGGATCGGGATAACAGGTTTCCCGCGCTAGAGGCGTACATTGGACGTGAGTAGTCAGGTATAGCGGCAGAAGCTGGGTGAGATGCTAACAGCGCCGTCTAGAGGGCATCTCTGGCGAGTATGAGATCCCCAACAGCCCAGCCTGGGCGCCTTTCCAGAAGCTGCGGTCCTACAAACTCCCAGAAGCCGTCTTTGAGCAGGTGGACCACACGCAGATGTCGACGAGCATGGGCCTGTTCGCCGAAATCAACCACGCCTGGGTCGTCGTCGACAACCAGGTCTACCTCTGGGACTACACACATCCGAACCCCGAACTCGTCGGTTTCGAAGAGCAACCCAGCAACATCACATGCGTCAAGCTCGTCAAGCCGCGTCCCGGTGTCTTTGTTGGCACCATCGAATACCTCCTTGTAGTCGCGACCGTATCCGACATCTTCCTGATAGCGGTCGAGTGCCAGCGAGGACCCGAGGGCGTTCATGGCATCACAATGTATCGGACGGGACTGTCGACCTCGGTCAGGAAGATTAACGTGACTGCGATTGCCGGCTCGTCAACAACGGGGCGCATCTTCTTCGGCGACGGCCAGACCGAGGACGTATACGAGCTGAACTACCAGCAGGAGGACAAGTGGTTTTCCAGCAAGTGCAGCAAGACGAACCACGTAACGACCTCCATCGGCCTACCCACGCTACCATTCTACGGACCTACGCGACAGGCTGGCATTCAGCAGATGGTGATTGATGACACCCGGAACGTCCTATACACGCTTTCCACCAACGGTACCATCAAGGTCTACTACATGCGCGCGCCCAACGTCTTGGAGAGCTCCCTCACCCGAACGCGAACACAAATCGAGACAATGTGTGGACACATTGTGCGGCCCACTGGTGTCCTGGACAAGATGCAGATTATCGGCCTCACCCCCATCTCTAGCACAGAAGCGGACAACTTGTCTCTAATGGCCATCACATCCTCTGGCTGCAGGCTGTATTTGAGCACAACGTCTGGAGGACAGTGGAACTCGAACAGTACAAGCGCTCCTAACAGCATGCAGCTACGACACATCCGCTTCCCGCCCAACGACGGTCAGCCTTCGCAGCAGAGCAATTCAACTCAGGTACAGCCATACCAGGGTGGTACAGCGGTTGGATTCGAGTCGAGATACCTCAGAGAGACAACTGTCGCAACCCGTTACGCGCCCGGCGCCTTCTTCTCTTTCGTCCTCCTAGCGCCAAACGATCAGAACCACCACATGTTCGTCTCGGCACCACACTCCGGATTGCTGGGCCAGCGCGAAAGCTCAGAACCCCCGCGATACACTGAAACCGGTGTGTTCACAGAACTCATGGGCAGAGTGCAGGATATCGGCTTGGTGTCAGAGCCCTTTTCAGCGAGGAATGAACCGCTTGGATTTGGCAACGAGCTTTCGACCCAGTTCGACAAACCCCTTAGTGAATACGCCATCATCACATCCGCCGGTATCGAAACAGTTCGACGAAGGAGGCTTGTCGATATCTTCGCCTCGATTGTGAAGAATGGAGGTCACGAGGGTGCTGAAGGCGACATCCGCAAGCTGGCGAAGCAGTACGGCCTGGCTGAGACTTCTGCTACCGCTCTGGCGGTTGCGTGCGGTCAAGGCTCTGACGTGGGACCCGATTCGCGGATCGCGAAGGTCACTGATCCCGAGGTCATTGACTTCGCTCGTAGGGTGTTCATCGAATTTGGCGGCAAAGCACATTTGACAGAGAGCGCAACCGTCGAAGGCTTGAGTGTGGAGAATGTCCGCGCTTCACCAAGACACGATGGTATCGCCATGTACGTGTCACGCATCATCCGTTCAATCTGGAACACGCCAATCATCACTGAGGCTGTCACTCCCACCGGGCCAGTTCTCACATCGACACATCCGATCACCAAGTTGCAGGAAGTGCAACGCTCGTTGGCTCAACTTCAGGAGTTCCTTGAATCAAACAGATCCTTCATTGAAGGTCTGGCCGGTCCAGAAGCGCTTGGACGCGCATCGTCGCGACAAGAAGAGGTTGAGCTTCAGGGCGAGAACAGAGCGCTTACTAGCTTGTTGCAGATGATCAACAACATCGTTGAAGGCATATCTTTCGTTCTGGTACTATTTGAGGAGCGCGTAGAAGACATTTTGGTTCTTCTGCCGGATCCTCAGTTACAGGGGAGAGTGCGTCAGCTCACCTTCCAAGGCCTTTTCTCTGTCAAAGAGGGCAAAGAGCTTGCAAGGGAGTTGGTCAAGGCCATAGTGAACCGTAACATCGCCAAGGGTTCTAACGTCGAATCTGTTGCTGAAGCCCTGCGGAGAAAGTGTGGCAGCTTCTGTAGCTCAGACGACGTCGTCATCTTCAAGGCACAGGAGAGTCTGAAGAAGGCCGCCGATTCTGGTGCGAATGCCGAACGCGGGCGCATCCTGCTCAATGACAGTCTGAGATTGTTTGAGCAAGTGGCGAAGAGTCTGAGTTACGAAAACCTGGCTGCTACAGTCAATCAGTACATTCAGCTCGAGTTCTATGCGGGTAAGCTTATCTAACACTCCGTTCTTCGACACTACTAATATGTTACTTAGGTGCTATTAGACTTGCTTTGAAGGTTGCGCAAGAGTGGGACCGGGGTAACAAAGCTCTGTCTTGGGTACGAGACAAGAGCGAACAGAACGTCGATCCGAATGACGCGCGTCGAGAATACTTTGACAAGCGTGCCTCTTGCTACACATTGATCTGCCAGGTCATCGAAGCTGTAGACCACGCCTACAATACCCAGGGCCCTGTGCCCGACGGTGTCATCTCCCCGGTCACGCGTCGCAAGCATGAAGCGTATGAACAAATCAACAACTCAGACGACGAGGTCTTCCAAAATTACCTGTACGACTGGTACATGCAAAACGGCTGGGCTGAGCGGTTGCTTGAAATCAACTCTCCTTTCGTTGTCGACTACCTGCGCCAAAGCTCGGAGACGAACCTCGCGCATGCGGACCTGTTGTGGCGCTACTACGCCCACTACAACGACTACCTCAGCGCTGCTGAGACACAATACCAACTTGCTAAGAGCACCCTGCCCTTGACACTGGAAAAGAGGATTGAGTACTTGTCGCGCGCAAAGGCGAATGCTTCGACGCGGATGAACGGTTTCGCAGAGAATGGAGTCCGCAACAGGCAGTCAAGACAGGAACTTCTGCGAAACATCACCGACCACCTAGACATTGCCAACATTCAAGACGATGTGCTACAGAGGATCAAGGGTGACGAGCGTCTTTCCGGTAAGCGAAGAGAGGATGTCATCGCCCACCTCAACGGCCAGATCCACCCGCTTGACGAAGTAAGTTATTGCAAGATCCTCTGTAGACGACTTGACTAACAGTGCCTTAGCTTTACCACGACTACGCCGACCAAGCGGCATACTACGATATCTGCTTACTGATATACCACGCCGCCGACTACCGCAGTGTACCAGACATTCGGTCGACATGGACTAACCTCATCGACCAAACACATCGGAATGCGCTCGCCGACCGACAGGGCGCGCCTTGGGAAATTGTCGCGTTGAAGGTCGAGGACCTTGGTCACCGAACCAACCTCAACGACAACGTCTTTCCCGTCAATATCGTCCTACAACTCCTCCTCCAGTACGACCTCGAGTTCTACGTACACGATGCCAATGCGCCGAATGCGCAGAACCTCGCACTCAACAGCAACCTCACATGGCCGATTGACGTCTTCCTCAAACTTAACGCGCCGTTTGAAAGCCTGGTTGCCACACTGGAAGCGCTGTGGTATGCGCAAGAACAGCCTTTCGCTGGCCGAAACCGCAAGCTACTTGTTAAGTGGATCATCTACCTTGTGGAGCAATGGGGTGCAGTAAGCAGACGAACAGGCGCACTATTCGGCGGTCCCGAGAACGCTATCGGTCTAGCGGAAGTGATGCGCATCATCCTAAGCAGCGACGTTTTGGGGCGCGACATGGACGACCAGGCATGGATCCAACGTGCTCGGGATCTAAGTGCTGTTCTTGAGGAAGCTGCGCGCTGAGAAGCCAAGGCCTGGAGTGGAAGTAGAAGGAGCCGCGGATGAAGCGTTGTGAAGATATACAGAAAGCGATGATTGTGTATTTTGGGTTGTTTCTCTTCGTTAGCATTCTTGCAGCGCGAGGCGTTGAATAGGTTGCATGAGTATTGGGAGGGGTGACTGGCGTAAAAAGCATTTGAACCCATCTTGTAGGACATAAGACGAAGACGGAGCATAATCAAGGCTAGTGTATTCTTGAATGAAGTATTATAATGGATAGATATCTGATGGGATCTGTGAGACCTTTTGTAGACGGTTTGGGAACTGTCGATTCTTTCGGAGTTTAGCCCCCCTACGTTAACGCCGTGTCGATACGCGTTCCCAAGCATCGTCACTCTGCGTATCTTCTCCAACACTCCCACGCGCACTCCATACCCCACATCCCACAGCTCCCACCGCGACAACCAACACTTCCATTCAAATCGCCACGCCATGTAACCCCTCCTCCACACCTCACGATCCTCCGTCCCAACCCCCACACAATGCCAATCTGCATCTCATGCCGCACCCCGGTGCGCACACTCTACACGACCTACTCCAAAGCCGACGACCGCGCCCTCGGCAAAGGCGTCCGCCTAACCCAATGCCCCGTATGCAAGAAATTCGCGGACAAATACGTCGAGCACGATTTCGTAGTCCTGTTCATCGACCTCGTGTTGATCAAAGCGGAGGTGTATCGACACTTGCTGTTTAATCGGTTGGGGAAACATGAGGGACGGTTGGGGTTTGATGTATGTATTACCGATCAATGTTGTCTGGGATGCTACTGGATCGGGGGAACGTATTTGGAGGAGACAGCAATGGCTAACATAACCCCAGCGATCAATCCTCCGCCTCGGCATCCTCCTCCTCCTCTTCGACGTCTACCTAACCTGGGCGCGCATCGAAAAACTACCCCTCCCACCTACATCGCCCTACCACCCAACACCCTACTCCCCCTCCTCACCCGCTCTAAACACAACATCCACAAGCCCCCTCGTCGCACCCCACGACGGCATCACAAACGCCGTAGTCCTCCAAGCCCACCCACTAGGCCTGCAATACCTATTCTTCCTCTGCCTCGTCACCCTCTGCACACTAGCCTTCCACCTCCCCATCCGCCTCCTCTGCGCCTTTGACGCCACGCGCCTCCCTAGCTCGACACTCCGTCGCTTGTGGCGGAGATGCATACCTAGTTTCGACTCCCCTACACCACTATCGACTGCACTGCTGGTGAGCAGTTGCACGAAACTGTTTCCTATCCTGCTTATTATCTGGGACTACGATTTACCCAGCTCGGCTACGGCGGTGAGTTGGGCGGTTATTGTGAATAATATTGCGGCGCTGGAGATACTCATGGATTGTGGGTATGTGAGGGCGGGTGTGTTGGTGGGGATAGGGGCGGGGCTGAGGACGGCGGTTGGATGGGGGATTTTGAGGGCGGCGGGGTTGGGGACGGGGTGGGAGGGGTATTGGAGGGAGTGGACTGTTTTGGGGGGTGTTTGGGGGTGGGTTGGTGGGTTGGTTAGTGCTTCGTAAAGGCATGTCTGGATTTGGGGAAGTTGAGCCTGAGCGGTTTTCTGGTTGCAAGCAATGATACCCATTTGATATTTGTACAAGTCGAGAAAGACTCCGTATTACGCCAAAGACCAACTATACACATGCGCTCAAGTATTCGGTAATGCACTGCTCTCGTTGTCCTTCACCGATGGCTTCAGATGCGGCTTGCCAGACAGAACACAACTGCTCTAGCATTATGCATCTCTCCGGCATATGCCCAACTGCGTCTGATTGCCGCCTCGTCCAAACCGCCCAAAGCCATCCTTCTCACAACGTGCCTATGCCTATCCCCCGCGCGTCTAGCATCCCCAGTCGAGCTTCGCTAACGCCCTCCATTGTATTCCGGTCGCAAATCGTTTCGTACAGGCGAGATAAGAGGATGGAGTTGTGCGAGGAAAGTAATCGCCCACATGATATACATGGCCGCGGCAGAGAGAACGAGTGTAGATCGCCAGACCCTGTCCGATTGAGTTAGCCCAAGGTGTCTCTCTCTCCTTGCATCTCAACTCAGAATGCTCGTCTAAGTTGAAGACTCAAACTCGGGGATATAGCTCGCTGTCGTTGATGTTGATATCCTGACTCGTCCCAGTCTCATTGCTGAAACGAACCCGTCTCCCATCGCCTGCGCCGCGCTTCTTGCACACAGCTAGAAGCTTCTCTCGCGCGTTCTCATTCTCGTCGCGCAGACATGGCTTTGGGGGTGCGGGTGGTGATTTGGGTGGTGATTTGGACGAAGAGATGGTGGGAACGTACGTTTGGTTCTCGCCTTTGGGAGCTAGGAACCAGGCGGCGCCGCAGAAGATGACGGTGACGATGAGGCCGATGATTGGTGCCCAGCTAGGGTTATGTTAGTGGCTGGCATGCTGGAGAGCTGAGTTGCGCGGATCGCGGAACTGACCCGTTCGCCATTGTAGGTCGTGGTTTGGGAGGTGACGCGCTGGGAGATGGTGTTCGGGGATTTGACGGGGGCGATGCGACGGTCGGGGTATGTTTGAGCTTCGAGAATGGTGTGAGGCGTGTAGAGGGAGCGGATGTCGTGATGCGGAGATGGCTTCGCCGTGGTGTCGCGAGCTGCGAGCTTGCGATGACGCTGCGGATCGAGGATCCAGAGCTTGGCGCGTTCGTGATGTATCACGTGTCAACCCACATGGCCGTTGCCTGGAGTAGACTCCGAGGTCCTGCAATCTTTATCTGAACATCATGTCTTTCTAGTTATCTCCTCGTCACTTTTTTGCACTGCGACATTCAATTATTGCCCACATACGTCCATGTACATTTCCAAGTCTCTCTTGCCGCCGTCGCGCGTTCTTGCCCAATCGAGCATGCCCAGCATGAAGATCGCTATGCCTCACATATATGCGCCTCACTCCATTTGTTCTCGACTTTCGTTAGCTTCACTCTCTTCTCTTTCAGGCTCTCGAGAGTCTTTGTGGTCTCCTGATCTTTTTGGTTATGTCAGGGATCCATGTCTATAAAGTCACTCACAATCCCAACTACTATCTCGCTCTCGCTCTCTCTCTTCCTTGGTTTACTTTCTTGTCAATTTGCTTCGCAAGCTTGACCAGATATCTACCTGGAGGCCTAATCGGGAATCTGGACCTTCTGGATCACTTCAGGCTATACTTCGTGGAGGCTTTTCCTGGCCCTGGGCAATACCCTCCTGGATAGAGGACTTGCGGCTTCGGTCACAATCCTACCAAGGCACGATGGACATATAGTGCTGTCGCTAGGTTAGCTCGCTTGGGTCCCGATCTCGAGTATTGATGTGCCACATCAAGACTCCGAAGGTTAGAAACGATGTTCGTTTCCGGTCAACATCCAGGACGCTCAGCCCTGCCTCCCGAGGTCGGCTACTTAGCCACGGTACCTGCATGCGACAGCCTTGTCCACAAAGCCGTACATCGGGCCACTGGATAATCCTCAACTTCCGCACATCGGAGCTGTACATTTAGGGCTACATATAAGTCTTGCCTTGTATCGAGTCATTCGACCTGGTGGTCACAGAACTAGCGTACAGAAGCGACAACGCGGTGTGACATGGAATGCATGTGGCTGTTGGCGTCTGCATGACCATCTAGGAAGGTTTCCAGGGGTGCTGGCATCAATACTGCGAAGGCGAAAGGCAATTGCGCATCCTGCCATTCGGGGCGGGTTCTTTCTCCTCCATGCAATTGCCGGTTTGCAATTCTCTGGTCCTCAAGATGATGGAACCCGGAGAACGTATCGGTCACGTTCGGCCCCTCATTTGTAGCCGACCCTATCTATCGGCATCGCGTTCTACGGGATGGATAAGATACATCACAGCATCATGCAGAGAACCGTTGTACACGGCTATACTTTTAAGCGTCCACCCTCGAGGTTGTTTGCATCCAGCCTATTAGATCGCTGGTCGTTCATACCAGGTAGTCTACCCAGGTAATTCTTCACCGCTTGTTCAACCAAATGCTTTATCGTTCCAAATGCTTCGCAAAGAAGATTTATGTCTTCATTGCGTGTTCTTTCGAGCATGCATGCGGACTCGTAGAGAAGTTGGCTGGTAATCAACGATTGCTTCACTCGAATCTTGTCGTTACTGGCTCGGGTAACGTCCAGACGCTGACGAACCTTATTCTGCATACGATCATCATGCACTCTTGGCCTTATCTACATATATCCTAGTCGGCTTCGGTCCACTATCTTGGCGGAATGCAGCCGGTCATGGCTCAGCCAAAATAGGTATTTTAGGCTCGCGCGAAGTGAAGCAATCGACGACAGGGTCAAATGGGATTACTGTAATCGAAGCCTCGCAGCTCTACGCAACATTGTACAGCACTGTTCCGGCCATGTTGCTGGGGCATCAAATCAAGGCAATAGACAAGTTTGGTTTCGAAGGCATTGGATTAACGCTCAGCCCGACGGTAGTACGTGTACAACAGCTGCTACTATTAATGTAACACAGGTCTTGACGAATTGATCGACGCCACATGCGTGCAATCGAACGATGCTTGGAGGTCATTAAATAGCCGATTCCTTACCAAGGGATTTAGAACCAACTCGATTTGATCTGCAGTAACCCTACTCTGAACCACAAAACATCGGGCACAGGTACAGCCTACGCCTTGCTTTTTTCAAGGCCCACAACACAATTTGACCACGATCCTACCTGCGCTGGCTCACGCACTTCACTAAATTCTAGTCTCCCAACCTTTGGGTCGTCTAGTCCGGTGGTCGAACCAGCTTTATCATTCACGTTTGTCTTCGACTGACTCCGTGCAACATTCTTCTTCATAAATACCAGGACTGTTTCCTCATTTAGCTATCAATCTCTCTCCTAGGATCGCAGCTTCGCAAGATGGAATCAGATGAGATTGTCTTTGTTGAACACCCACCTTCAATGCCCATTCTTTCGTCGTCCCGACCGCTTCCGCACCAACAGCCGAACGGCAAACAAGCAAACCTGAACCCATATCAACAAGAGGCTCGTTCTTCCGTAAAAATGGCTTCGTCTACAATCGAACAAGGTTCTCTTGAACGCAGACTTCCGATCATACCGACAGAGGACATGAAAGAGCAGACGACTGAGAGTGGGTCATCACGGCAACGTCACGACTCAGATTGGTCTCTTGGTTCAGACTCACAAAGTGAAGATATGACGAAGCACGAGGGAAACATTCTGGGAGTGTCGACTGCAGGACAAGTTGCTCCGTTTCCACCACCACCACCACCGCCGCCGCTCATGGAATGCCACTTTAGCCCCGGGAGATGTGATTCTCAGATACCTCATCCAGTAAGTTTGATACTATACCAGAAAATGAGAGCGTGATCTGACTGTGTACTTTAGCCGCCGCCACCTCCTCCACCTCCTGTACGCGATATACCACATACCCATTGCGGAATGATTGTAAGCTGACATTAGCAGCCTCCACCACCACCAGGCTTACCTGACTTCATGAACGCTCCGATGATGACCTCAGCACTTCCTCCCCCAGTACGTTCAGAACGCGGTCAGATCCATGCATTGCTGATCAATACTAGCCCCCGCCCCCGCCACCCGGTCCTCCTCCGCCCGCGTTGACCATGAACCCATACAGTGCAGGAGAAGAAGTGCATACTCCGAATCAATTCATCCAAGTGCAATACTCCAACGAGTCCATCTCCGACTTCGCCAGCCGCGTACTCCGCATCGGGCCTTTCAGACGCAATGTCTTTATGACCCTTCATCCAGCTAGTGCGGCAGACTACAAAGAGTACGAGTGGCTTATCAAGTACGGAAGCTCTGAGATTTGGTATGAGAAGCCTACCAAAGCGCTCCTCAGGAGTGTCAAGACGCTCGAGGCGAATCGACGAGCACCGGGTGAACTGCTCCCTCTACACAATGCCAGGCCAGTGAGTCTTGAGACGCCAAAAGTATGGGCATCAGCTGCCATGACGACACCGACCGACGACGACATCTTCGAATGTGTTGCTGATCATCCTGTGGACGATGGCTACGACACCGGGACATGCCACCAATGTACTGAGGCCAAGTCAGAAGCACTTGAAGGCACACCTCTCGTCTACTGTCTAGTGTTCAGTACTTGCCAAGCAGCCGATCCTTTCATTCACGGCGCCCACTTCAACGGCCGCCAGATCTACAAGCTTGTCAAGTGCGGTAGTCGCGAGGCTGCAGTTGCAGAGACTTTTTACGCCGCTGGTGTCAACGGATGGAGTCTGGCTTTTAGCTGCATCATGAAGCTAGGTGAGGACTTCGAAGAGAGATGCGGTACGGCCAAAAAGGTCAACGTGCTATGGATGCTGGCTGAAGAAGAGGCCGATGAAAAGATCGTTAAGATATTCTACTAACATACAAAAAAAAAAGAGCAGCGTTTCTTGGGTTATTTTTGCTTTCGGTGTCTATCTTTGCGTCTTCCAAAACGATTGTTTGCGTCTCTCAAGGTTTATTCTCTCCACTCTTTCAACGACAACACCTCCGCGCATCTCAACGTAGCCCGGCCAATCCTCGACGTTGACACGACCAAGTCCTACCGAGACGAACCCATCAAGGCCTTGTACCACATCAGACGCATAACACGAAAACACATGTGCAGCCGACCGATATATGCGGTCCAAAACCAGTCGCATATGCCATGTGTTACAATGGTTTCCTCAACCAGTCTGTTGTGCAGTCTGTACACCCTCACTGCCTTGCTACCGATATTGTCGAGTCGCTCAAGAAGCCCGACAAACGTCGTCAGATGCTGTTCACGGTAGAGTGCAGTGGCTGTATCCTCCAATCAGCGGTGTCCACGATAACGGGCGTGTCGTACGAGGCTTACCCCCTCATTTCTCTTTCCTTGCGTTTCTATTGTCGTTTGGGTGTTGAGATAACGTCTGTTTGCTGGCATGTTTGTGCTGTTGTTTTGCGTTTTTTGTTGGCGTTGGGATACGTATGAAGGCTACATGGAAAACGATTATGACCGGTGGTTGGTATATGCTACAGGGCTGTTACGGGTGTGGCGTTACGGTAGACACAGGCTTTAGGATCGGTATTGCGGGAATGGTGCATCCAATGCTGGTGGAGCACGTGGCGCTTGGGTATAACGACGCTACTGTACTGTATCATTAGGTCAAAATTTGGCGGATGGGTGTACGACTAGTGTGCTTTTCGAATGCTAACTATGACTAAATCACTCTCGTGTGTCCATTCCTAAGTGAAGTGACGTATTGTGTAGTTTCGTGTGTAGTGGATAAGATTGAGTCGAGCAGAGCCTTTCCTCTCTATCATGTCCCGTCTCTTCGCCTGGTTTACATCCGGTGAGAAAGCCTTAGTGTTCACCCATCGCTAATCGACTATAGCGCACCACGTACTTCGTACAACTGCTGTTCCTCTTCTACGCTAAAGATTGCAGTGCACTATCCGTGTGGGAAGTTGCTTTCAGGCAACGGTACACGACCCAAACTCCCGGGTATACCGAGTGACAGCTGGGTACAGTTATCGCCACAGCATTGGGTGTTCCCCGCGCGTGTACCACGGTACTACAACTTCTTCTTCGTAACCGGCTCTAAGCCTCGATGTTGCTTCGCAATCATCTGATCAAGCCTCGCATAGCAATCCAGCGACATGAAGATACCTAGTCGCATTAGCTTACATTCCCCTCGAACAACTTCCAGAATCAATCGAAACTAAAACGTACCAGCAGCCAGATACCCTCCATACATGCCACCCAACCCCTGCGCACCCCTCTGCACCGGCGTCAATTCCTCCCAACTCAGCATCTCCGCCAAGCAGACCAGCGTTGTCAAGCTCGTCTCTAGACCAAAGACCAGCAGAGCAAGAGGGACGCGTGGGTCGTTACGCAGCAAGGCAGGGATGGCCCAGAGAGTTAGAGGGAGGTGGTAGACAAGTTCGAGGAAGGTCAGGACGGGGAACCAAGCTGGGGCGTTGTAGAAGAAGCGGTCGCCGTATGTAGATATGTACCAGTCGCGGAGCGAAGACATCCAGAGGGGCTTTATTTGGATTGGGTAGTAGGCTGTCAAGTCGAAGGCTGTCGTTCAGTTAGTATTGGTCAGTCCATTCATGTATGCGGCGGTGTGATGTATCAAGTCCGGAAGCATCGGAACGATTGAAAGAGGAAATGATTCAAAAGATCGGGCCCTCGCATATGTAATCTTGCTATACTATTGCAGCATGATGGAGCCTCCAGCCTTAATATTCCTTCTCGGTACTTACCTAGCATCACCGGCAGGTGCACAACGAAGAAGACGAGGTAGATGAAGTCGCGCTTCCGCTGGAATATTGAGACCGCCATATTTGTATGAGCCGATGCTCGATGTTTAGCAGCGTGGGTTGAAGTTGGTCGTTGTTGTGAAGTCACGTTTGTTGGCAAGCGCGTCGTACGCGTTTTCGCGCGTGGGGCATCCACGGCCCTTTCCCCATACCTATGGGGCCGCACTCTTGGCTTCCGTCTCTCATCACTCCACCCACGACGTCCAACTCGAATCGAATGGACAAACTCGACAACCGGAAATTTTTGATGGGCTTCTCGTGATTTTTCCGCGAAGTTCCAATGCGGGTCGATGGTGCTCCTGCCAACCGTGCCAGGCCAAAGGCTACCACTACATGCGAACTGCTTCCGCGTAAGCTGCAGCTCTAGGAGATCGATGCCTGAAACATGACTACTGTTCATCGGAAAGCAAGTTCCTGCTTCAACCAGTATTTCGTCCGAATGGCTATAGAACTCGGACACCGGGTTGGCTGTTCGCGATCAGTTGAGCGCCATGCCAAGCGCATTTGGCCTCTACGTGCATCAGCGCTCCGCCTTTAGCCTTCACATCTGATTTTTAAGATCCGGTTGCCACCACATCTGGAAGTCGATGATGCTACACGTGTAGAAACAATGGTCCGCACCTCTCACGACTCGATCGCACTATTGAAACTGCCGTCGCAACCGTCAAAGGATTCCTCGGAGCCTCGTCATGTCGGCGCTCCGCTGCTACGAATTCACGGATGACGGGCAATTTAGCCTAAAGCTTTCCTCTGATAGCCCTTGGCACCCGGCCTACAGCAACCGAACGACATCAGCGGCGGATGAACCACGAACGGCACATGACTGCCAAGAATGGTGGATGCTTACATCGCTTTCCGTGTCCAATTAGTGTGCTCGAAGCCTTGGCTTGGCGCTCTTCAAGCCGTCTTTAACATGCTGCCCAGCAGCCGTTTCCCCTTGGTATGCTTAAGGGGTTAAACAGCTCTTATTACCGATGATCTGGAAAGAGTATGGAGGCCTGTTTCCCCACAGTGCTGCGGTACGGCCACCGGGGTGCTGGATGATTATGCACATGGTGGTGCGGGCTTCGGTGGCCCCCCATACATAAGCCTGGGGTCTCCGAGTAAAGGACCGTAAGCTTTTTGGCAATCTGGGGTACTACTCAGACGGCTTTTGTTCAAGACCTTCGCCAAACTCTTCAAGCGTTTCGATTGTCGGTAATCGAGCATCATCATGGCTGGAGGCGGCGGTGGTGCATCTGGCTTCGATGCCGCGCTTCAAAGGCGTCAGGCCCTGATGGGCGCCAGTGGTCCTAGGGCTCTTGTGAAGAACGGCAAGGTCTTCCTGATCGCCTTGTTTGCCTGTCTCGGAGGTGTATTGTACGGATACAACCAGGGCATGTTCAGTGGAATTCTAGCTATGCCGTCTTTCGGAGCACGTACGTATTTGCGACTTTCACTATCAGCTTGCGCTTACATGGAGTAGAAACCGACGGCTACGTTGACAATCCAACCCAGAAGGGATGGCTGACCGCTATCCTGGAACTCGGAGCCTGGTTTGGAGCCGTCATGTCCGGTTTCGTTGCTGAGGCAATGTCGCGCAAGTACGGCATCTTGATCGCTACTGCAATCTTCATCATTGGTGTTGTGGTCCAGATTACTGCAATTTCTGGTGGTCACGAGGAGATTCTGGCTGGTCGCTTCATCACGTTAGTGAACCATCAGTACAAACCTTTCAGCATTCGCTAATCAAGCGTAGTGGTATCGGAGTCGGTGGTCTTTCCGTCATCGTCCCTATGTACAACAGTGAATGTGCACCTCCGTAAGTACACCCAAAAGGAGCTACCTCAGTACCTAAGTAACATACTGACCCGTCTTAGTGAGGTCCGTGGTGCTTTGGTTGCACTGCAACAACTTGCCATCACATTCGGCATCATGATTAGTTTCTGGATCAACTACGGAACCAACTACATCGGAGGTACTACTCTCGAGACCCAATCTAACGCCGCATGGCTCGTGCCCATCTGCCTTCAGCTCGTTCCAGCATTCGTCCTTATCATCGGAATGGTCTGGATGCCGTTCTCCCCACGTTGGCTGGTACACCATGGACGCGAAGAAGAAGCGAGGAGCAACCTGGCCTCTCTCCGCAACCTCCCCGCTGACCATGAGCTCATCGAGTTGGAATTCTTGGAAATCAAGGCCCAGTCCATGTTCGAGAAGCGCAGTGTTGCTGAAGCTTTCCCGCATCTTCGCGAGCAGACTACTATGAACATCTTCAAGCTCCAGTTTGTTGCCATTGCTTCGCTATTCAAGACGAAGGCTATGTTCAAGAGGGTTATCGTCGCGACTGTCACTATGTTCTTCCAGCAGTGGACTGGTATCAACGCCGTACGTACAATCTCGGGCCTCGTTGATGATCTACATTCGAAACTCATGCTGACTTCCACTCTCCCAGGTTCTCTACTACGCGCCTCAAATCTTCGAGCAAATCGGTCTCGAAGGAACCACGCAATCCCTCCTCGCGACAGGCGTCGTCGGCATCGTCATGTTCCTCGCCACCATCCCCGCAGTCCTTTACATTGACAAGCTCGGCCGTAAACCCGTGCTCGCTGTCGGAGCCCTCGGCATGGCCTTCTCCCACTTCGTCATCGCCGTCATTCTCGCGAAGAACTATGAAAACTTTGGGAACCATCGTGCGGCGGGATGGGCAGCCGTTGTGATGGTCTGGTTGTTCGTCATCCACTTCGGTTACTCTTGGGGTCCTTGTGCTTGGATTTTGATCGCCGGTAAGCACTTCTCCTACTCTCCCCAAACTTTTCTTCTGTAAAGTTGATGCTAACGTTCCGTCTCATAGAAATCTGGCCCCTGTCCACGCGCCCCTACGGTACAGCCCTCGGCGGCTCCTCCAACTGGATGAACAACTTCATCATCGGACAAATTACGCCCGAGCTGCTCGAAAACATCACCTGGGGTACATACGTCCTCTTCGGGCTCGTAACCACGCTTGGAGCAGCTTTCATTTGGTTCTTCGTTCCTGAAACCAAGCGCCTGACGCTCGAGGAGATGGACACTATCTTTGGTAGTGAGGGAGCGGCGCTGAAGGATCAGGAGCGCATGGCGGAGATTAACCAAGAGATTGGTCTTGCGGCGTATCTGCATGGTGATGCGTCGAGTGGGAATGAGACGAATGTTGTTGGGAATGAGAAGGGTATTGTGTAAGCGTAGTGACGCCTGTGGAGTGAGGGTTTTGAGTGGGAGGTGAGATTGGGGGGTTGAGATTAGTTTAGTGGCAAATTGATTGTTGTAATTATTTGAGTTCTTTCAGTGGCGATACGGGAACGAGTGTACATGTGGTGATCGCATTCTTTCGCTTCACCATGTCTGGATAAAGGTTGCTTCTAGTGGATGGGGCGTGATCTTGTGAATGCACCAGCTCTCCCTCAAGGGTGATCTATTGACTCGTCGTGGCAGTACATTGGATGTAGACGGTAAAATACTGGCGCCTCATCGGGACAATCAAAGTAGTGTATCTCGCCAGCATGCTTGCACCACCATCGATCTAGAGCTGGCGCAGATAAGCCACTTTGATCAGCTTTGCTGTCCGCATTTGTACTTGCCAACTGCAAGCCCATCTCTGGGATGATATCGCGCATCAATGGTTTTCGCCTCGTCGCAGTGATAGATTTCCAGCTGACCTCGAATTCTTCTTCTGGCGTGGGGATTTGTTCGGAAGATAAATACGCGCGTACTCTAGTACATATGCGGCCCGTGTATGTGTACTGGACATTTCGTATCTCGGTGCTCAAGTATGTACCCTCGATATAATCGAAGAATGAGAAGACGCCATTGACCTGTCGTCGGGAGAAACCCATCCCTTTTGCCAAAGCTACAAGCGTGATGCGATAGTCCTGTGGTCTGATGGTCCGATTTGCTGGATAAAAGCATTCCGGGTCATTACGGTCGAATAACTCTTCAAACAGAGCTGCCACCGCATCGAAGTATACCTCAAGCACCTCTTTTGTGTAATCAACACGTACTCGCCATTTTTCAGGTGTAACCCCCAACAAGCCGTAGACTTTGTCGCGAGGATCTTGACAATTGCTCCTCCAATGTGTTCGGATACAGTAATCCAGAGTACGCTTTTCCCAAGAACGTTGACCAAATATGGCTATCGAGGGAACTGCCGGTATCATCCGCTCTGTAAATCTACCTGCAGAGCCTAAACAATCCCAATTCTTGAGCTCAACCCCTCCGCAAATCATGAGAGGTAACTTCGTGCTGAGCGCAATCTCTTGAATGATCCATACCCGTTTGAAATATGGGTGAGCTAATAGAGTAGCAAGAGCCGACAGGTCGGTATATACCGCGTCTCGCAGCCGGTGCGCTGCGTCAACCATGTCAGGGTCACACCCTAACCACACGAGCACCGTATTCGCCTGCTTGTAAATCTTGCTCATGATACGGACCTGGTCGCTGCGCTCAATCGGATCTTCCTGGTTGATACAAATCTGATCGATCCAATAGAACACCGGTTTCGTGACGTCGTCCATGCCCCATGGCTCAATAGTGTAGGCACATAAGAAGTCGAAAAGATTTTGGCGTAGGTCCAGATTCGCTCCGTCGACTGCTACACTATGAGTTCGTGTCGGTTCGCCCCAAGTGTATGATAGAGCGATATAATCAGGACAGGTTGTGAGGCTGTACTTCTGTAAGGTGCATTGCGGCTGGTCGGTGAGAGGATCTTTGCTGATTTGAAGGAGCCGGAATCCTGATTTCGGCTTTTCCAGAGGTTGGTAAATGTATTTAGGCATCTTTACGGTGTGGTAGAAGTTGAGGGTGTCGTGCTCTCAAGAGATGGGGCGACGCGGGGTAGTAGTTTTCCACCAGGCTGCCACTGCCTTGCGACATATAGCGCTGACGAGAAGGGCTACGTAGGTGTCAGGCTGGGTTATGCCATGCCTTATCTGCTCGGCAGAAAGCCTCAATCTCTGCTTGCAGTGTGGCGCATTCTTTGCTGTGAAGGCGTACTGAGAGGAAGCCGATTTCGCCAGGGACCGTAATTGTACCTAAGCTGCACATTACAATTCCTCCCATTGTTTTTTTTGGACGTGCTGGTGGCGAAACCCAGGCACAAAGCGGCTGAGTAACACGGCAATCAACCGCAATACAGGTATATCTCACGAACACCTTTGTTCACAGTACCTATGCAAACCCCTCCTCCTAAATCTTTCAATATCGAAGAAAAGACATCTAATCAGCCTACTTGACTATGCTCTGATATGTTGAATATATGCTAAGATGTTATGCCCGCGTTAAGTTAGGGCTGTAGTATAGAAGTAGGAGCGTCTACATGGAGCCGTGCAGGCAGGAACGACACTATACCTTTTTTGCGGTGCCTCTTAGTGTATACAGCTCTAATAAATTAGCACTGCGCGAGGGACAATTGTTCAACTGCAAATGCGCTCAAGCTCAACCTCTTTTCAGCACTGTGTACAGGCTGTCAAGATGAATTTCAACTCGCTCTTTCCACTTTCAACCTACAGCATCCGCAGCACATCCGCAACGCCGTCATGAACGTTGGGTGAAGTGGAAGACAACCAAGACATGGCATCTCAGACAGGTGTGAGTCAAAGAGGAGGGATAGTAATAAAAGGCGACTGCCGTGGGTGTTGCTTTGAGACGACAAACACACCAGGGCCACCAATATGCTCGCCTGCTACTTCATCACCAACAACGCCGTCGAACCGCGCCAACCTTCACTTTTCCTGAACACAAAGGCTCAATCACTGCCCACCACCCAACGTGGCCACCAAACTCTGCCTAAACGCCTGCTGATCCACAGCCCTCCCAATCAACACCAACTTCGACTCCCGAACCTCATCTTCGGATTTGGCATCAAGCTCATTCGTATCGTAAATCGCCCTTACACCCTGCGTGAGAAGTATCTTGCCGTCCTTGACCGGGACGCGTCCCTTCAATCGATGAATCTCAAAAGGCTTGTGTGCAGTCTCATTCGGCAGCATCTCCTCCCACAAAATAGTGCGAAGGAAGAGATCGAATTTCTCGACTTGCTCGCGGGTTAAAGCCGGGAAGGAGATGGTTGAAGTGGTGATTGTAGGGTCGAGGTGACTGTGTCCTTTGCTCGCGAATTGCAGATCTGTGTCTGTGACTTCGTCGTAGGCATGGAGATCCAAAACCAGTCCTTCGAGTTGCGGGACCTGGCTTTTCGTCGTCGTCTTGATGCGCGCGAGGCCGTTGATAGAGCGGATTCGCTCGGTGACTTGTTCGAGTTCCTGTGCGGAAACCAGGTCGGTTTTGTTGATGATGATGACGTCTGCGTGACTGATTTGCAAATGCGCTGTTGTGAGTAGTGGGCCGTGTTCGTCATGCGACGCTTTCTTTCTTTCTTCGATGTTTTCTTCGTCGCCGAGGCCTTCGTCTAGGCTCTTTAGTACGTTCTTTGCGTCGACGAGTGTGACGATGCCGTCGAGGAAGATGCTGCTGCCTAGGCCATCGTCGAGCCAGAACATAGGTGCGATGTTTCCGGGGTCGGCTAGGCCGGTTGTTTCGAGCAGGATGTAGTCGAACAGGCCAGATTGCTCCATGAGGTTCTCGATGGCTGCTACACCGATGTCTTTTACCGAACAGCATATGCAGCCGTTCGCGAGTGGGACAAAAGGAGCGGGTTGGGCGGATGTGGAGTTTGCGTCCGAGACAGTGAGTTGCTTTTCGATGTCAATTGCTAAGCCATCTGTCAGAGTGATGTCTTATTCTTAGTGAAGGTGAGCATACAGTCACCGAACTCATTCAGAATGACGGCAATCTTCTTTCCATGTTGCTCAGTCAAAATATAGTTGAGCAAAGTCGTCTTTCCCGCACCAAGATACCCTGTAACTATGGTAATGGGCACTTTACCCTGTGGTGCTTCCTTCGAGGTCGCTACAAGATTGGGTATTTCCTCATCTTGGTCGTCCAGGACCTTGGTATTAGTCTCTGGCTGGACTAGAGTGGGGACTTCATCGTCTGATACGTTTCCGTCCATGGCCGGCAAGCTGTTTCTAGATAGTGATTCGAATGTCGAGGAGGGGTGCCAGAGCGTCAAGATACAGTTCTAGAATAAGTTAGAACAGATGATCTGGAGGTAGGTGCGTAAGAACATGCAGTCCTACAGCGACTTACCTAATCGCAGCTACTTCGGGATTTTGGAGGCCAAGAGAGACGGCAATGACGTCGTGGGGTGGCAGAGTCATGTAGAAAAATGGTCCACCGCGACTGACGCGCGATGAAGCTAGCGCCGTCGCGTATTTCCTAGTTGACAAGACCCCTGCCCATGCCCTGCATCCGCAAGCTCCAGGTATCAACAACACACGCCGCCCCGCCTACCTGTCGCCAGACGCCTACTGTGATCGCAATTCACTCACTACCACTCATCATTCCGCAAACATGACGTCGCCCGCTTCGCCGCGCCTTCCCAGCCCGCCGCCCATCCCAGAAGACCAGCTTTCGCCGGTATCCGCGTCGCCAGAGCAGCAGAAGCTCTTCAGCAATCTCGACCATGCCGCCGAACGGAGAATACGACCGGGGACTAAGGCGGAGGACATGGCGGAGGGGCCGCCGCTGGTAGAGTTATCAGAGGTACGTCGAGGCATACTACAATAAAGACAGCGCCTGGCTGACAAGATGCGCAGATTGACTCGGCATTCCAACTTACAGAGCACCTCAAAGCCCTCCACCACTCGCTCACGCACCCCGCCGGCTCGAATGGCACTGTGCCGGTAGACAGAAATATGGCATTGAAGATAGCACAATCACCCGCCAATGTGGACAGGACGCTGTGGCTATACGAACTCTGCCGCTTCCTCATACAAAAGGTCAACTCCATCATTACCGCCCTCTTCGCCGACGACCCACCATGCTCGTCCCTGACGTGTCCCGAGATGCGCGCTTCCGAGTGGCAGTACCTTTGCGCAGTACACGACCCGCCAAAGTCATGTTGTGCCATCGACTACTGCTGCCACACGCTCGACTGGGCGGCTAACACCCTCACATCACCCAAGCACTTTCCTTCACGGCTCGCGCTAGGCACAGACTCGTCAACGCAGCACTCGCAAATGCGCCAGTTGACCAACATCTTCAGGCGCGTATACAGAATCTTTGCGCACGCATGGTACTCGCACCGAGAAGTCTTTTGGAAGGTCGAGGGACGTACGGGATTATACATATTCTATAAGACGGTCTGCGATGTATACGGTCTGGTACCAGAGGACAACTACACCATCCCTCCTGAGGCGGAGGGTATTGAGCCATCAACAGAGGTCAAGCCGTCAGCGCCACCTCTGATTATGAAGCGAGAGCCCTCTGATTCGACATCAGAGATTTCAAGTAACACACTGGCAGACGGAATGTCTGATCATTCGCTATCAACAGCTGGAACAACGAAGCGACATAGGCATTCGCCATCAGTTGGCGCCACGGCCGTTCAAACAGTTGTAGAGGAGAATGAGGAAGAGGAGGAGCGACCAGTTCTTCAAGCGCGACCAGTCACTCAAATCTTTGAATCGGCACAGGAGGATGAGGAAGAGGAGGAAGCCGATAGCGACGGCGACGTCACGGCTATTGAAGATAACAACGAAGATGATGATGACGAAGATGATGACGAGGACGAGGACGAGGACGAGGACGAGGCTGAAGCTGCAGAGGAGATAACACAAGCAGATGCCAAGGATCCCACGACTGAAGCAGCCAAGGAAGACGCGGGCGAAGAGAAGGCAGCGGGTACAACGACCGAGGTAGAAGAAAAGAAAGATGGAGATGCCGCCACAGAGCCAGCGACTACTGAGAATGCTGAGGCCAGTGCTTCGGACGCCCAAGACGACGAAAATGAACCATCGAAAGATGATAGCAAGCCAGATGCCGAAGGGTCAGAGGAGGCGAAGAAGGTTGATTCTGCTGCAGAATCGGCTGATGAAGAGGGTGGTGCGAAGGCCCAAGATTAGGTTATCACGGGCAAGGCTCAACGGGTAGTATTTCAGAAAGCTTCCGTGGTGTACATTAAGCGTAGGAATAGGACGGAATAATGACTTGGCAGGGCAAATCGGGATGCTATCATTTGCATCAGCACACATAGATATCACGCACGGCATGATATGGCTTCAGGGAGCCGCATTACTAGTACTAGTATCTGATGATAGTCGAGATCTCAGATGAGTGATAGCGGGGCTTCATCGAAGAGACATGCATTAATGCCCTCGGGCTTTACCTCCAGCCTCAAGAACCAACCAGTACGCAGTGGCTCAGCTAGCGCATGTGTATAGCCTCCGCGGAGGATCCATCTCAGCTCACGAGACAAGTATAGACTGGGACCAGGGAATTTCCTGCCCAGTTTGGCAACATACTGGCCTTGAAACATGAAGGAAGACCAAAGCAAAGCAAAACTGCATATTATCCGTGGCGGAAGAGAGGCGCTCGGTAAAGCGCACCGTAGTGACAAGGATGGGAGAAATTGTCTCATTGAGCTTGGTCCAGCGGTTGGGGGCGAATTTGGCACAGGCCCGGCTTGGTCGTTCCACGTTTCCATGTTGCACTGCGTGAACTGTCTCGTCACACGGTGTTAATGACAGATAGGGCTGATGAGGCTCAACTAGACAAGCTCCGTCTTGACATTCCTCCGAATAAATCAATGACTATATGCAGAGTTAATCAAATGCGGATACCGATGCGACGACGCTCGCCGGGCTCCGAGTGCCGCAAGAAGAGGGTGACGTCCGGGCCGCGCATCATTGGCGGGAGTGGACCGTAGATGCGTCTGCGTGTTTTGTCGCGCTGCGCGGCAAGACGATCCTGGGGTAGGGCGTCCAGGCTGCAAGTATCAATTGGTGGCCGACGGGCCGAGTGGGCACTAGCATCTGGGTAAATGCTGGCGAATGAGCAGCGCGGTGCGAGTGGCGCACGTGTGATGAGGTGTGGAAATTAGTTGCGTGTTGGGCGGGTTGGGCTCAGGTCGAGGTGTAGAGAGGTATAGAGGGGCGTAAATCAGGGTCTGGAGATGGGTGAAGCGATGCAGAGATATCAACAGTCTCAGAAGTGGGCAGGATGGCAGCGGGCCTGGAAGGAGGAGGAGTCTAATGCTTCCACGTGCAGCATCGCATGCTTGATGCAGCCTTGTGCATACGGCGGTGCACAGTCTGCGGTGCATGAACAGGCACGCGCTGCTATCGACCAGTAGCTGGAATGGCGTTTACGAGAAGTCGTGACGGCGCCGACGGAGAAGGACAACTAAATGCAGCGCTCGAGCGGCCCCCACGCCCGAGTTGCCAGTCCCACGCCGGCTCGCTTCTCCACATTCTGGTGGTCCAGCAGGCTGCAGGTGTAGGTGCAGTATTGCAGCATCCAGACGGGCGTCTTGGAGTGCATACAGAAAGTTAATTGCTGACGGCGGAGGCTGGAGTCGTCGGAAGGCTGCGAGCTACCCCTCACTACTTCAGCCAGCTGGTGCTTAGACATTACCCACAGCCACGGGATCTTGAATTCTTATCGCGGCTACTGCGGACGGTCTGCGTGGTCACAGGTCCCCAGTCGTGAGTCCTAGTCGCCGTCCCAAGTCGGCATCGGCCCTCTCCATTCCATTCCCACAAGTCTACCCGCGCCCGTCCTGCTGCCTCCCACGACGAGCTGCCCTTCCCCACGTTCCCCGTCCACGTCCAGGGTTCTCGCCACGACGACACCCCATCGCCTTAATAGTATACACAGAGGCTCTATCTGCAGGTCATCGCCCAGGATCGCGGCGATTAAGACTCGCGCAGCCCACGCCGTCGCCTCGCCTGCCGTGTGATTCCCAAAGCAGCATGCACGCCCATGGCCGAGCGCCTCTTGACTAACATCAACACCATCTGGCAACCGCGCACACGAGTCGCTCCGCCACCAGGCTACACAACATCCACCCAAGCCCTACACACGCGCACTGTCTGCCAGCGTCGCGACACACGACATTGCACCTGACGACCCGCTGGCAATGACGGCGCAAATCTTGTCTATGCATGCTGCGCACGCGTCGGATTTGGGCAAGATCCAGACGCAGTTCCGAGACAAGATGGACTCCACGGTTGGCCCTGCAAACGAGCCTCCCACCCCCGCCTCCCCCGACAGCGCTGACACCCGTGGCCGCCGACGCGACCGCGACGAAGATGGCTCCGGCGGCGAGGGCGAGGGTGACGGCCATGGCTCCTCGAGAAAGAGACGGCGCAGCAGAAAGGGCCTCGACAAGAAGTTTGAGTGCCCGCACGAGGGCTGTGGGAAGAGCTACTCCCGCGCAGAGCATCTCTACCGCCATCAGCTGAACCGTGAGTGCAGCAGCGCCCGCCGGCCTCACCCAGCTAACATAGACAGACAACCCCAAGCAAATCTACCACTGTGACTTTCCCGACTGCCACCGATCTTTCGTCCGGCAGGACCTCTGCGCGCGCCACAAGGAGAGACACACGGCGCGAGGCTCGCAGCTGCTGCGCAAGGACACGTTCAACATGCACAATCTGAACCCCATTGTGACGGCTGCACTGGGCGGAAAGAATGCACCGCCACAGAAGGCACTCGGCATGCAGTCTCCGCCGTCGGGAGCCTCCAACGCAGGCCCAGGCAGCAGAATGTCGCCGCCAAACTTCCAGTCGCCAGGCTCGACTGCCACGCTCAGCAGGCAGGACTCGCTGCAGAGGACAGTGAGCGACGATACGTACCGCAGTGGCTCAGAAGCTAAGCCCTACGACATGCAGTCCCAGAGCGCTGGAAACTTTGCACCCCCACCGCGTCCGGCCGCTTTGGGCAACTACAGTGGAGGTCGCAACTCTCTCCACAACTCCCCACATGTGGGTAATGGGAACTTCACCCGGCCCGATCTACGCGCGCAGACGTCCAATCTCAGCTCGTATGGCTCGAGCTCACCCTTCAACTCTGCTGTTACACCATCCCAGTATACTCCCTCTGCGCCCTCGACCGGCTACCAAAACAGCGCAAGTGCGTATCAATCACAAAACAACTTTCCTCCCTTCTCCTCCTTACCTCCACCAGAGTACCCCCAGCCAGCCGGCACCCCTGCTCCTCGAGAACAAGAGAACCAGTTCTACAATGGCACTTCTGGACAGACGCCTATGAATGGTGTCGAGTCTACAGGTCAAATAGACAACCGAATGCAGGGTGTCTCTGATGCCATCATGGAGCAGAACCCCGCATATGCTATACCAATGTTTGGTGGCAATGGATACAGTCGGTCACCATTCGCCATGGCCGACGACTTCGCCGCCTGGCTATTCAACGACAATCAATTCAACCCAGGAGGCGCATCGCCCATGGATTACCCGGGCGGAGTAAACCCCGTAGCTGGTGCGTCATCCCAAATTGGCCTTCAAGCTCCGTATTTTAACTATGACCCCTCAGTTGCCGGCTATCTGAACAACCCTGCACCGCCTGCACATCCCATGGCTGTTCATAGCATACTAGATACCACGCTACCAGAATCTGCCTTGTCAGAAGAGAAGCGGAAAGATCTTCTTGACCTGATACATCTGCGCTTCAACGAAACAGATCATGCGCCAGTCAAGAAGCAGAAGGAGGAACTCATGGAGGGTGACAAAGACGACAGCCGGCACGTGCTCAGTCTGCACATGATGCAAACGTACATCAGCTCGTACTGGGTACATTTCCACCCGCAATTACCAATCCTCCACAAGCCAACGTTCAATGCAAGCACGTGTCCTGAGCTGCTGTTGCTCGCCATCATGTGTCTCGGAGCGTCTTGTTTGGAGAAGAACTACGGTCAAGAGACGACACAGGCTTGTGCTTCATTAGCCAACTTTTTGGCGTGGCACCTGCGCTGGGAGCTGTTCATGGACGCTGATTTCCGTCCACCCGCTAAGCTATGGATCTTCCAAGGCCTGCTCCTCCTCGAGTCGTTTGAGAAGATGTATTCTACGCGCCCGCTACATGAACGAGCGCACATCCATCATGCCACGACACTGACGCTTATGAGGCGTGGAAGCTCGCTGATCGGACGGTCAGCAATGGATTCGCCTCCTAGTGTCAAGGACGGAAAAAGCAACGGAATAGGTGGAGCAAACACGCCTGATGAGTGGTGGAATCACTGGATCACGAATGAGGCTACTAGGAGGGCAGCATTCGCAGCCTTCGTCATGGACAGCATCCACGCTACCATGTTCGGCCATAGCGCTGTCATGGTCGCTCACGAGATGCGTCTTCCACTGCCTTGTGACGAAGCGCTCTGGTCTGCAACGAGTAGCTCTGAAGTGGGACGAGTTGAGCAATCCCTAACATCGAATGGCATCAAACCAATGTCTTTCCTTGACGGTCTCAAGAAGACGCTCAATGGGCAGACGGTACGGACCAATTCGTTTGGACGCACAATCCTCATGGCCGGTCTGCTGAGCGTATCATGGCACATGAACCAGCGAGATCTACAAGTCAGCTCGCTCGGTGTGACAACAGCATTAGGTGGTCGCGACAAGTGGCGGGGCTCTCTGACTCGCGCCTTTGATTTCTGGAAACAAGATTTCGACAGCTCACTGAACCGATCCGAGGACCGCCCTAGTTCGAGCTCATACGGATACTCGCAAGGTGTTGACGATGACAACGTGTTCGAGTCCCGAACTGTGCTCCACCACCTGGCACATATGGCCATGCACGTCGACATTGTCGACTGCCAAATCTACGCCGGCGCACCCCGCCTTCTCGGGCGGTCAATAACCCCGCAAGACTACAACGGCGCGCAACGTCGGATGAAGGAGATGTGGGCCCCCACTGCCCGGGCCCGGGACGCCACATTCTACGCACTCCGCTTCCTGTCCAACGTTATGGTCGCTGGAGATCACAGCCTGAACCCCAATACGCCGTCCACGGCCGGCTTCTCTTACTCCGCACGCGACGACTACCTCCTCAACCGACCATGGGTACTATACTTCGCCACATTAATCGTGTGGTCGTATGGTTTCGC